GTTACTCGAGAAAATAAACTTGATGGAAAATCGTCAATTTCGAGAAGGTTTTAGACTCAATCGACCCATGGTTTGTACTGGATTCCTTAAGGGGACAGGAAATCGAGATAAGATACATAAACCACATCGTCATGATTTAGAAGAAAGCAATTGCTAGTGTGAAACCTATTTATTGATTTCTCATTAAAGTACAAGAAAGTTCAAAATCAGATAGGACATTCGACCTGGATATTCCACATCACTGACACAACCCGAGATGTTTAAAAGACATATTGAGAAAATCAGAGGCTGAAAATACGAAGAACTACTTAAGCCCTGTGCGGTTTGCCTACGATATTCTGATCCTCATAAGGTCTCCAGAATTTCACAAAAGAATGCAAGAACTGAATGATGATGCCAGCTTCAAAACAGAAGTAAAAATGAACCTGAGGAAGATACAGATCGTATTCAACAAATATATTACCTCACAACCTATTTAAGACAAACGACTTAGGCTTGAAGAGGAGCAAAACTACGTCTGAGACAGCTTAAATCTGCAACAGAGAACCTACTCTGCAAAATGATTAGCAGAGCAAACTGGCATGAAGTACCTTTAAAAGATTATTCTTGTGTGAAGCTGTCTTGTGCTTCAAACGGAAGTTCTTCAACCAGTGCGTGATTCCGATGCTAAAGTGTAAACGCAGAATATGGACCCTATGGATGGAAACTTCACAATCTACAGACTACGCAACGCAGTATGCAAAGGTGTATTTTGGGAATAAGATATCGAACGATTAGGTAAGAGCATGAACATGAGTCAGCGACATCAATGCAAAAGCGAAAAAGTTGAAATGGCAATGGGCAAGCCCCGCTGAAACAAAACCGACAACCGCTGAATCAACGGAACGTGGACTGAGTTCCAAGAAACAGAAAACGGTCCGCTGGAAGACCTCCAAATAAACAGCATGATCAGTGACCTAAGAAATTTTTTGAAACAATATGGAGAAGAATAGCAAAAATAGCTAAAATTTTATGGCGAAATCATGGAGACCTTCTTTCAGCAGATTCATATGGTCGATAAAATAAGACTTCTGGTGACGATACTCAGACGAATGACTCGTTCTAAACAATCGACAGTTAAGGAAAATTCACATTGTTTTTTTTAGAGGTCGAACTTGATACTGTCGGCAGGTAGGGCATATCGTATACCACTGCAGTGGTGCGCGTCTCAGTCTGCAAATGATGACTGGGGTAGATGTGTGCTCAAAAGCCGTGGATCACATAACATATTTAAGGAACTTGGTAAAACGTAAACCATGGTAAACTCCGCCATGGCCGGTCCCAAGCCCGGATGAGAAAGGAGGAGGGTTGGAGACCGTGGCAAGTCTC